GGTGTGCTCTGGTGGCTATCATTTCTTACCAGTCAAATTTCTGAGGGAATCTAAGTGCGGAGCGTAAAAGAAGGGATGAATGGTAGAAATGATTAGCGTTTTGAAAAAAAAAAAAAAAAAACTGAGTTTTCGGCTGTACCAGCCCAGATGGGCAAGCGAAGTGAATGAGGAAAACAAAGACAATACAACAGACGATAAAAAAAAGAAAAGCTCTCCGGGAAATGTTTCTTGAATCTCGAGTACCAAATTGAAAACGAGTACTTTGCCATTTCAAAATTCTCGGACTACGCTTTATCCTCAACTAAATTATTGTTTCTCAAATATCGTGGAACTTAAACCTAACAACTTACTTAACTTAAAATTTAGTATTAATAAGTATTAACTATAGCCCCATATAAAAATTCACTTTGTATTGGATGGGAAACGGTATATTTTAGCCACTTGGGCTATTTTACAGAATTATCATGCCCTTACCACAAAAAATAGCTGAATTCCTGAAACAGCTGTTGTTAATTCATAGTTCTATACATGCAGATTGGTAACTTCTCCATCGACTACTTGTGCTCCGTATCTGCCTCACTTCATTCTTCACTCTACCGTTCTTTTAACATACCGTAAATTCCTTTCGTCTACTCGTTTTGTTCCATCTGTTATCTATTCTTATCACCTTGTCAGCTCAGCTCCTTCGCAGGATTATTTAGAAAAAAAAACCTTGGCGATCTTGCCAGTTATGCTTTTTGTAAATCACTTTTCAGCACTGTTCTGAAGTCTATTCTGTTTTCTGATTTTGCTTCTACATTTTAAAGTACCTTTTATTTGTATTACGCAAATTCTAGAGTTATATGCTGAGAAATGTTGTTTTGAGTCAAAAAATGAAATTGTCTGATGAGTCTTGGCATTGGCTTTTGCTACTTGCTTAGTAGTATGTGCGAGTTAGAATATTGCGAATCTTTGCAGTTGTCTCGAGGAGTTTCTCTTGTCAAAGTCTTGATGCACTGGTTAATCAGTATTGTGATTGTAGTGAAAACTAGTTCAGACTGATTAGACCGTGTGAATTTATAACAGAATTAAATCTAAATGGACTAGCTTTCAGGCGCATGATACGGCAATTCGAGCGCTGAAGTGGTCCCACAATGACCAGTGGCTAGTATCGGCCGATCACGATGGTTTCGTGAAGTACTGGCAACCGAATATGAACAATGTGCATATGTACCAGGCTCACAAGGACGAGCCTGTTCGCTCCATCAGGCTT